TGTCACTTTAAGTCTCATCACCATGCATTTTGCATGCATACAACTATCTCAAAGTAATAATTTATGTAATTTAATAATAAATTTTTTTTAATAATGATAAAATATCATAAATTTAAGTCATATAACATATGTGAATGGAGTTAGTTAAAAAATAAAATATAATTGTCTCTCATTATATAACATAAAATAATTAACAAAAAGGATTAATTAGCATTGAGTTGTTAAGTTGTTGGCAAGTTAATGAATTACTAATTAATACCCAAAGAGTCAAAGAGTCAAGTTAATAAATTACTAATATTTAATGAATTGTGGCTTAGTAATAAAGAAGTTTGTTCTTTATTTTATTAACCTTAATTAATTCTTTTAAAAGATTAATAAGAAGATAATTCTTCACAAATTTATTAATTCAAGTATATATGAAAAGGTTAAAAGATTTGACTAGATAAAAAAAGAAATTAATTTTAATATGCACACAAACTAATTTAAGAATACTTTAATTTAAAAAAAAAAAAGGAAAGAAAAAGGAAAAAGAGGTTACATGGAGGTTTGAAACTTTGAATTGAATCTCTATTATAGAGCCAAGTTTTTTGTTTTGTAGTAGCAACAAGTTGCTGCTGAACTTCTTGTACAGATAGTTTCATGGATAAATATAATTTTCACATTTTATCCAAAAAAAAAAAAAAAGATTTGATTGTAAATAACTACGTGCCAATTTGGTTAAGCTAGTTTTTCAACAATGAATTAAAACAGATTTTTATTCTTATATAATTAAAATATATATAGGTCTCTGTTATCTCTGTAAAGATTAACATTAATCAATATTTATCATTGTTCGTCGGCCCAAAAATATATATAAATATATATATGTCATTGTTCCTATATTTGATTTGATTATGCAGTGTATAGTAAAAAATCAATCTTTTTCTAAATCCCTCTCTATTTGGTTGGAACCATATTGGTACAATCTCAATTGATAATACCATAGTTTTTTTATCTTAACTAACTATTATATTTTTAATTTGAACAAACTAATATATTTATAATGTCATGAAATATTATAAATTTATAATATAATGCGTCGATATATAATTAATTCTTTTTATTTATGTGTTTACCGTGATATTATATATATACTCACTTAATTATATGTTATATTTATTTAATTATATGTTATAATTACAGTTTTATCATCCTATATAACATTTTAACTATAATATTGTTATGATTTTAATTCACTTTAATTTTGGTGTAAATAAAAATATAAACTAAGGTTTAGTTTGATAGTATTGTGTTGTAGCAGTAGTTTTTTTTTTTTTTTGGTGTTTTTATTATACAAAAATTTATAAAATATTAATTAAAATTAATAAAAATATATAAAGAATTAATTAAAATAATTAAAAATTTTAAATTTACATTTTTGGATAAAATATTGTGTGGAAAAGGCATGTCAAAAGGTTAGACAAATAAAGCCTGCCTAAATCTATTATAACATTAATGGTTATTTTTTTGTTTTTTATTATCTCAAAATATATAAAATATTTAAAAATTGATTAAAATTAATAAATATATTAAAAATTATTTAAATTTATTTAAAAATTATAAATTTACATGTTAAATAAAGTATTTTATAAAAGGATTTTTGTATCTTGTATAGTGCAATAAATGTACTTTTTCAGAATTAATTTTTATTAAAAATATAAATATTGATTTTGATTTAATCAATTAATTAATTAAAAATATTCATATGTGAGCACTATCAAAATATATCTCAATTTGTATAATTTTTAATATAAATTAATTATAAAAATATATATTTATTGTACTTTTAACCTGTATAAAGACATCTACACTAAAATATCAACAAACAAAGTCGAAATCACAACTTTGTTTGAAACTGTTTTCTGATGGTTTAGTTTTTTATTTTTATATTTTTTAATATTTTAAAAATATATAAAATATTAATTAAAACAAATAATAAGTAAATTTTATATATTTTTAAAATATTAAAAAACTAAAAACTTACAATTTTATCTACAGCCTAATACTCTCAAACTAAGTAGCAATCGTAATTCTTATACACAATCCCCGTGGGGCTCGAATGGACTAATAAAGTATATAGATTTTGCTTATACACAATCCATGTGCAGATTGCCTTTTTTTTTTTGGGTGGAATGTGCAGATTGCCTTTGCTGCATGGGCCATTCATTTTGTCTCCGGATTTTACTGATTTTCTGTATTGGCCTCCTGGCTT